ACACCATGTAAAGATGATTTTTATCTATAAACACAATTGAAATATATTTATTCTTACCATAAAAGACTCATATTCTTTTTTTAGTAATTGTTTAACCTCCTTTGCTTCACTACTGAGAACCTGGCTTGCAATTGGATCACGCCATGAAAGGTTTGAGGACTTAACCTTATTAACTATTATCTTTCGTAAGGGCTTGGCATACCGTGCTTCACTGTTTTTAAGGCTCCCTTTTAATACTCGCAAATTATTTTCAATCGTCTCGGTGGATAAATCCTCTTGTCTGGCGGTCTCAAAATCCCGAAGACTACGTACTCCTTCGAAAGCATCGTCAAACTAGTGCAGAAAAAAAAAATAAATTACTGTATATTGCTACTATGAATAATTATTCTAAAGTCGTGTGCGCACACGTCAGATTTTTATCATGCAATATTATCAGCCATGTGTGGCCAGTACATAGATGATAAATTACACGATATACGCTTTCATCTTAAACTAGAAACAAAGAAATACCCCCATACGTCTGTGGATTAATACAAGATCAAACCAGGGCTTGTATGGCTTTGGATATAATTTTGCATCAGTTATCAGGATAATATTCTGCGTTATCATCCTATAATACAAAAGGTTTTCTATAAAACAATTATTTCACCAACCTTTAATGGCAAACTCTGAAGCTTCTGGTATTTTTTTGAATTAGGTCTGTACGATGGCATAACAGCTGAAATTGCTTGGTGAAATATTTGTCTTAAATCATCCTTTTCGATCGAGGGCTCTTCATCCATTGCCTGAGAAATGACTGAATACGCAGTTATATGCCCCGGTAATGCGATGCGAAGAAAATCACAAATAATATCATACAATAAAGTCATGTTGCGTAGTTAATTTGGGATGAAAAAGTAACAGGCTTGTTAATATAATAAAACCGAATCACTAATAAGCGACAAATAACAATAAATTCGAGATACTGCCCTTTTATATGTTTTTTTCTTCCCTGAAACTCGAAATGTTAGATAGGTTAGACAGAAGCAAAAACATGCACTCTTACATCGAAAATTTCTACGATAGAAGTTGAGACATGTATTTCTACGCAGAGAAATTTCTATCGATGATGCAAAAGAATTCTATAATGTATGCAACACGAGTTATAGAGCCATATAAGGTCAAAATCGTTATTAAGGGACATGATACTCCGTCGTACATATATTGTGCGCATTTAGGTTAGATAAGCTTTCGGTCTGGAGTGAATTCTCCACAAATTGAAGAATAGATGTGGCATGAGTTAATTGACCGACTTTGGTTAGGTACTAATTCCAGAAAAATGAAAAATGGCACTTTGAGATTGGAATTAGCCAGGGCGACCACCAAAAGTGCGGGTCACTTGATGAGAGCCACAACCTCTGCATAATTTCCTAGAAAATAATTGAATCATCTAGCTCCTACATGCAGCTTTATTATTGTAAAAATTCCTTAAATCGAATCATATAACAAAGCAATATACTACTGGTTATTAATATGTGGCTTGACCCGCACATTTGGGGGTCACCCTGGCTAATTCTTTTGAACCTATCTATAGCCTGAACTGGTATCTAGAGGATCGGCATAGAGAGAGGTAACTGTAACAATAAGTATTAATTTCAGCCTAATATATTATTTATTCACCAGTTGTTATTGCCAAAAGGGATTGATATAAACAGGATGCTTGGGATCGGTTACTAACAATGAAAGGCTTCTGCTAAATTTTAATAGAACTAATCTAATATTTTGTATATAAATTTGACTATCACTTATCCAATTGATGTGTACATGATTGGACTAAAAGATTATTCAACGATTTAAACTTTTTTTTTTTTTTTAGTAATATAAAGAATGCATTTACAACTTTTGTAGAGTATAATTAAATTACACTGAGATGGTTTTGAAAATATTGAACCCTGACGCCGCAGTACTGATCATACATCCGGGTATTTGTGGATGCCAATGTATTTCCTTTATGTCATTTTGGCCCTATAATTATTATAAAAACCATCTTAACATGTGAAAATAAATCAAATTATTCCTTGCCTATACTGTATCATACCTGATGAATAAATAAAAGCTGTGATGGCACTTCAATGCCACCTTTTCTTATGATTTTATGTGAACTTTCTTCAGAATCGTGTTCCACTGAAAGATCCCATATAGATATCTGGTCGTCTGATCCGGACGCCGCAAAAACTGATTCTTCTATAGGGTTCCATTCAATCGAGGTTATCGGCGCCGAATGCCACTTAAATGTTGCAACTGGTGTAGGTGATGTGCGACTACTATTGTTAAATTACAATAATATTAAATTATTTACTTTCAAAATTTGCTAAATTTCAATATACGCACTTCATAAATGTCCGTAAGTCCCATATGCTAATCACACCGTCATCCGCTCCTGATGCAAGTAAGTATTCGACTTTTCTACAAAATTAGCTTGCTCAATCTTCTTCTGTAATATAAATCGATATATTTTTTATATTTTATGCAAACCTATTCCAAGTAATCACATTCACATCCGCTTCATGAGCTTTGATGCTCAGCGCTGCTTTCTTTTTGCTTCTAATATCCCATATACATATTGTCTGATCTGCAGATGCACTTGCAAACACACTCTTTTCTACTGGTGACCATTGCAAGTCTTCCACGGAGGATGTGTGTCCCACAAACGGAATCCTATCTGCTGTAAATGTAGACTGTGCTTTCGTTGTGAGATAAATATTCGTATGCATATCACCAGTTATTAACCTAATTATTAAAACAAGATGATAAAGAAAATTGTTTTTAAGGAAATTCTTAATCATTAAATAACGTTGTTTTTATTTATACCTTCCGGCAACTGTCCCCGACCAATCCATTGCAAACCCTTCTGTGCTATGACTTTCCACGGTATAAAGTGGCTTCTGTGCTTTCTGTGGAATTTGTCGTCCTGGAGTATCCAGTGAATTAATAGCTGGTGCCAAATCCCATATGAGTACTTTTCCTGTTTCAGCCCAAGTCGCCGCTATATAACAATCTCTTTGAGGCATAATCTTTAAATGAATTTTAATTCGATTTCATATTAATGAAATCGTATTTCTGAATATAATTACTATGGATTTCGAACGTACCCTGACGCGATTAGTACCTCCATAATGTTTTAAGCTTTTACTTTCCAAAATTGGATTTTCATCCAACGTTCCATCGTCAGAATCAGAGTCTTTGTCAGAGTTGTCTGTAATAATAAATCCACAAATATTGGAAATTGATTAAAGATATCATTACAAACAATAGCATCATAATTACCACCATCATTCTGGGTCTTATGAAGTTGTGACATCTTCATTACTATCAATTCATTATTGTTCGGTTTATCTGCTTGTGTGCCAGCAACAATATAAGCTGTGGCTGGATACTATGAAATTCAAAATCATAAACATGTAGACATATGGATAATTGATTTCTAATAACTTGACAAACTCCAACCATTTTTCTTTCTTCTCCAAGACTATCATGTAATATATCAAAACTAAGGCATGGCCATTTAACATCCAAAGAATGTAGCATTTCATAGACTGATTGATCTGCCTCGAGACATTCGCCTTTCCCCAATTCTTGACCGGGAAGGTATACTTGATCTGCGTTCTCTTCAATTTCCATGGCTTCGGAAGATTATAAGCAGGTTAATTTGATAATATTAAGTAATGGAATATACAGCGGGTGCAACAATTTGATTTCAAACGATAATAACGGTAGTATTACCATAAATTTATTTATTTTTAAAAAAGTTAGTACCTATTCTTACCATTTTCATCGTCACTAACAGTTTCCGTATCCTCTATAATATCTTCAGACTCTGACTCAAATTCATCTTCCTATGGGTCTTCGAATTCTCCGATTGACTCTTCTCCTTCCAGCAACTCATCGTTGTGGTCAGGCTTACCAAATGGTGCCTTTGAAGCCACAAAAATTTCACTTTGTTCTAATTCTTCTGTTGAACGTTTCGACATTATGCCTCGGGTTTCCGAGAATAGGATTTATTAGATTTTAAGCAAACATTTTTTTGATCTCGAAAAATGATTGGATGACAAAATTTTTTTGATCTCGAAAGATGATTGGATATGATAGTGTATACAGGACTCTAAATTTTTTTTCAGAAATCATTTTTTTTCAAACATGCCAATCGACGCAGCAACTTCGGCTTTAAACCTTTCATTTCCTCCCACAACCTCTGCTACTGGATTTGTGGTTCCTCAAAGCCGCTCCTTTACAGTATCTGTTAATCCAGTAGTGTTATTTTCTATACTTGATCATTACCTTCGAAGGCAAGAAAATCAACACCGGGTTATTGGAACGTTGCTTGGCGTAAGGAGTGAAGATGGCAGTGAGGTTGAAGTTCGAAATTGCTTTCCTGTTCCCCACGATGAAACTCAAAATCAGGTGTGTTTTGTAAAATTGTATGTATATCTATTTCGTAAATACTATCTAAAGTGATATATTATTCATGGACTCAGGTTGCCGTAGATATGGTGTATCATCAAAGTATGTTCGAACTTCACAAAAAAGTCAATGCCAAAGAAGTGATTGTTGGATGGTATGCCACCGGATCCAACCTCAATCAATGGAATGCCCTTATTCAAGATTTCTATTCTAAGGAGGTTTCGCCTCCATTTCAAGCTATTCATTTAACAATGGATACGGATCTTAAAAACGAAGAAAAACTCCTGGGTGTTAAAACCTATGTTAGGTAAATTAATACATTTACTTAAATAATTATTATACGATTTCGAATATCTTGACTATTTTCAATTTATCAGTGCACCGATTGGAATTTCGGCCAAACCAGAGAATTGTTTATTCCTACCTGTTCCGTGCGATGTTAAATATTTTGACGCTGAGCGCAGTGGACGTCAGTGATCTCATTTAATATTAATTTTCTCCAAAGAATAATAAAAATCTCAAATACATTAATTCCAGTAAATCATTTAATTAGTTGATCTACTTGCCTCTGCAAAAGATCAGCCAGATCGCTCAACATCCCTAATTTCTGACATGGATAACCTTGAAAAAACGATTTTGGTTGTTCAAGAGATGTTGGAAAGAATTTCAGAATATGTAAATAAAGTCTTAGTAAGTACGAAGACCTTTCTTATCAATTCCTATGTCTTATACTGATCTCTCAAATTTAATAATTTTTACCAGGATGGAAGTGTACCCGCAAATAATAAAATTGGAAGATTTTTAATGGATACAATTTCTGTTGTACCCAAAATAGATAAGGTTGAATTTGAAAAAATGTTTAATAGTCATCTACAGGTCTGTACAAAAATTTTACGCATTTACAATAATTTTGCATTTTATAGTAACCTCTTAATTCTAATTACATTTAACTTATTTTAGGATTTATTAATGGTCGTCTATCTCGCCAACATGACTCGTACACAACTCGCCATCGCAGAAAAATTACAGCTTCTTGTATAATTTCAATCGTGATTATAAAAAAATTATAGATAAATTTTTGTAAAAATCACAGTTTTTATAATGCCGTTCGTAATAGTTATTCTCCGAAACTCGCAAAAGTGATTCCAACGAATCAAAACGCGATTGTGACTATGTTTATGGAGCGTGGTCAATTTTTCATTGGCCAATTTTTGATGATTATTCTTCTGAAATTATGTTGTACTGCGAAGGGCACCTTAAACCAACAATTAATATTAATCATTAACTTTTTTATAATATTACACGAAAATAAAATATATATGATTAGATAATCAATCACACCTCCCTATAATCACTCGCTCGAAATTTGTAGGTTTTTTAGGCTAATTGCTATAAATTTGCTTACAATCTACTTTTTTTAAAAATCGAACCACTTAAATAAAAATTTTTTAATATTTCTTAACCGGGGGTAATTTTCCCTGGGTGCTATATCTCAAAAACGTACTAAGTAAACGGGATCGTGTATCTTAAGCAAAAATGCTCAGGATCCCCGAAAACCTAATTAAAAACCTTATATCTAATATATGTTATATTATATAAAAAACTCCTATATATCTTAAAGCTGCATTCTAACTTTAAAAATACTAAGGGAGGTATACTTGAAAAAAAAAATTTTTTTCCATTTTCAACTATTTCGAAAAATGCAATAATATTAATAAAGATTACTTGTACAGTACAGTATATAATATTTGTTAAATAAAATTTAAATTAGTTTTTTAGTATCAGGTATAGACAAACAAACCTTTCTAAACACAATATAAATAGACTATATAGCTAAAATATGCATTTAGAGAGAGCCAATCAAATTGTAGCTTTTAATATATGATCTGCGGGTTTTTATAATACAACTTGATACTGAATTCTAATTGGCTATATGCATTTAAAAAGATTAGATCTTCTAATTGTACTATACTAGTTGTAAACTCATGCAATAATATACAGGAAAATTTTAAATTTAAAATAATTATATAGGCTAGGTGCTGAGAAAAGAGATCAAATTAACTATTTTTTTAAAGAATATTTTTTTACATAAACTAATTTATAATAAGATTAGAATTATTTTTTATTTTTTATTTTTTTTAATATTGAGGTGACTACTTAGGCCCTTGGCACTTTATTAGTTCAAACGGGTGGGCCATTGTCCGAAGACTGGCTTACATATTACATCAGTATAACGAGAGTACAACTAGTCACACGTACAACTTTTGGTTGCCT